TCCAAGAGCGCCCACGAGACGCTCTCGAGAGACCAATTTGTTGATATCATCCTAACTGTTCCAGCGATGTTCGTATACTCGACCGGTCTGTTGTCGCCAGGCGGCCAAAGATGCCCCTAGAATCGCCCCAAGACGGCCCATCGGAGTTCTCAGACAGCCTAAGAGGGCGCCAGGATCCCCCGACAAGGCTTCCGTAGGGGCACACGACGGCCCAACAGGGCGCTGAGACCGCCCAAGGCGGGCAACAGACCGCCCAAGGCGGGCGACACGGCCCAGAGAGACTTCCAAGACGGCCCAGAGAAGCCCAAGACGGCCCCAAAATGGACCCAAGAGATCTCCAAGACGGCCCCAATAGGACCCCGACGTTTCCCCCATACGGCCTCCCCAGCATGCGTCCGAGAGGCCCCAAGACGGTGCTATGTAATTAATCAGGGCGAAGGAACCGACCATTTGCGGGTGCGAGTAGACGGAGAGAGAGAGAGAGAGAGAGAGAGAGAGAGAGAGAGAGAAAAAAAGAAAAACTCTATATATATATATATATACATATGTATAGAAACAACACAAAACATAGAAAGAGAGAGAGAGAGAGAGAGGAGAGGGCGTGAATGGTTCTTGCGCGGGGTGTCCAGAGAAAGCAAGAAACCCACTTAGGATGTAGGAAAACGAGAGATCGTAGATCCGGGAATGCGGATTGCATATGTGTTCTTAGGAACCGCCGTCTCGGGAGCATCCTGCACGACTTTTAGGTGGGATCGTGTCCTCGAGAAAAAGAGAGATAGAGAGACAGAGAGAGAGAGAGAGAGAGACAGCTTCGCTGGTTCCCACGAGTGATCGCAGTCATTGCCCAAGCGCCGGGGAGCCTCGGAGAGCTCCAATCGGGAGCCTTGAGACGGGGGTCAATGCAAACGGGGGTCAGCCAGGGCGCCAGATCCTGCAGGATCCTGCAAAGGCCCCCTCTGGCTGACCCGGGTCAGGGAGCCGCTCGTGGCCGCGAGGCGGCCGCGCGTATTGGCTGACCCGGGTTTGCGAGGATCTGCGTTGCAGTTTTTTTTTTTTTCCTGCATTGCAGTTTTTCGTTTCCTGCTGACCCGGGTCTGGATTGACCCGGGTCAGAAGGTCCCCGATCCAAACAAGGATTTCAAGCTTGTGGATTGCTCGAGCGACACATGGATCATTCTTCAGGCCAAGCATGCGATCGTTCTTTTATTCATCCCTCGCACACCCCTTCCACCCCTCCCCCATGGAGTAATGTTCAAAGCCTTTACCCCCATCTCTCTCCCCGCTGGATCCCGGGTGTCATGAATACGCCGGCGGGTATTTTTTTTCGAATTGTCCCCCTGGAAGAAGATTCGGTGGAGAGCGAACGTACGTGTGTATTGTAGACATATACGCGCACGCGAATGCAATTCGAAAATGCTTTCAAACTTCTTGCGTGCAGATGTATAGGCTGCTCCAGTCGACGAATAAGTGATTCTCGTCCTACTGGAACAGTGTACGTGCGTACGCTTCCCACGCAACATGGGCCATGGCGGCCGCGTGCGCGGCGTCCTTGCCCCTGGCGCAGTGTTACGTTTTCCCGCGCCGGTGCCATCAGGAGCCGCCGTGCGCGCGGCGGCCCTCGGTGCTTCCGAATTGTATGTTCCGCGCAAGAAGGGGCATGGCCGCCGCGCGCGCGGCGGCTGGTGGGGCATGGCCGCCGTGCGCGCGGCGGCTGGGGGGCCTTCGCGAGCCGCGCGCGGCGGCTCTTGGTGTTCCCCAGGTGCATTTTGCGTTTGGAAGAACGCAGGGCCGCCGCGCGCCCGGCGGATTGGGGTTCGCAAGAGTTGTCGCGCGCGGCGGTTCCTTTTGCTCCTGAGTTGTATGTTCCACGCGGAAGAAGACAGGGCCGCCGCGCGTGCGGCGGCTGGTGGCCCTCACGAGCCGCCGAACCCGCCGCTGCTCTTGGCGGTCCCGAGCTGTATTTCTCCTGCGCGGAAAGAGGACAAGGCCGCCGCGCGCGTGGCGGCTGGGGGTTCTCAAGAGGTGCCGCGCGCGGCGGCTGCTGCTGGCGCTCCCGAGTGGTATTTTCCACGCAGAAGGAGGCAGGGCCGCCGCGCTCGGCGGCTCGGGGCCACCAAGAGCCGAAGAGCCGCCGCGCGGGTTGCGGCTCGTGGTGCTCCCGGGACGTGGGCACGGCCGCCGCGCGCGTGGCGGGCGGGGCGGGGCGGGCGGGGGTGGGCGTGGGAGGGGAGGGGGGGCTCAAGAGCCGCCGCGCGCGCGGCGGCTCTTCCGGCTCTGGATTTGTATACTTCCACGCAGAAGAACAGGGTCAACGCGCGCGCGGCGGCTGGTGGGTTCTGAAGGTTTGTCGCGCGCGCGGCGACTGCTGGTGCTCCCGAATGGTATTGTTTTACGCAGCAGAAGGCAGCGCCTCGCGCGCGCGCAGGGCCGCCGCGCGGACTGCGGGTCTTGGTGCTCCCGAGTGATTATTTTTATGCAGAAGAGGCAGGGCCGCCGCGCGCGCGGCGGCTCGGGGCCCCAAGAGCTGCCGCGTGCGCGGCTTCTCTCGGAGCTCCCGAGTATGTTTTTTCCCTGCAGAAGAAGGCAAGACCGCCGCGCGCTCGGCGGGAGCCCCCATGGGCCGCCGCGCGCGCGGCGGCTCCTCTTGCTCCAGATGTGCATGCTATTTCGCAGAAGTGGGCAGGGCCACCGCGCGCGCGGCGGCTCGGGGCCACCAAGGGCTGCCGCGCGCGGCGCCTTTCGGTGCGCAGTGACGCCGCGCGCTCGGTGGCTAGGGGCCTTCAAAAGCAGTGGCCGCGCGCCCGGCTGCCCTGCGCGCTCCAGACTGGTACGTTTCCATTCAGACGAGGCCAGGGCCGCCGCGCGCGCAGCCGAGCGGCGCGCGGCAGCCTACAATGCGCCGGCGCGCGCTCGTTCGCGTGGCGGTTCCTGTTTTGTTCGAAATCGACATGTCGCCGTGCTGGCATGCGAACTGAAGCGATCCTTTTCTAGCGGTTGCCGATTGGGTTTCCAAGTTGGAATGCGGTTTTTGCGTTTTCGTCTATCGGTGCAGCCAACCATGTGCCTACGCGTGCGCATGGCGGTTTTTGTGTTGTTCGCGATGGGGAAGTCGCCATGCGCGGGTCACCGCACTCTGGGCATCCCCCTTTGGAGGCCCCGAGTGCATTCACTAGAGTGAACTCTGGTGAGTGGACTCTGGTGAGGCGATGGGGCTGAGAATGCACTCCTGGCGAGTGTGCGCTCAGAGTGTCGGTGCTGAGTGTCGGCGCCGAGTGTGACTGCCGAGTGTCGGCGCCGATTGTCGGTGCCGAGCGTCGGTGCCAAGCGTCGGCGGCGATCGTCGTTGACGCGCCGGGTGTCGGCGCCGATCGTCGTTGACGCGGGAGGTCCATAGACCTGCCCCCCCGTGCGAACCCAATGTAGGAATCTGCCCGTGGACGCGGAGTGCCAGGGCGGTTGCTGGGGCGTCCCCGGCGGCTCGGTTGGCCCCGCCTTCTTTTTGTTGCGCCAACATGCGCAGTACAGCGCCGCGAATCATTATTTTTAAGTGCCCCCCCCAGATTCAGTTTAAACATTGTTTTTCTATATCAGATCTTACCTGTTTTTAGCGCCTGTTTACGGCAGGTGGGGGCCCTCTCCCATAGGACTTTCTTGTTGTGAGCAGTCGCGCTGAGCAGAGGTCTGGAGCCAGACGCTTCCCGTTCCCCCCCCTCCGCCCACGGCCGACGCGCCCCATAAAAGAACGCCGACAATCTCCAGAGAAGCACTTACTCCAGATTTCGCACTAAAGGGAGGGGTTTCATTTCGAGGGGGGTCTCTTCCAGGCTATCGCGGGGGGCCCGGGGGGTCTGGGGGCGATGTTTTGGAGGGTTCTCCCACGGGGGAGGTCTGAAATGGCTTGTCTTGGAGGGTCCAGACCCCCTCCCTCCTATTGCGAAATCTGGAGTCTCCTTTCTGTGCGACGCACACGGGGGAGGCAGGCGCAGCCCGCCTCCCGCGCCGCGCGCAGGCGGGCGAGCAGGCCTTCTCGCCCGCCGACGCGCGGTGCAGCTGGCGCTCCGCTGCACGCCTCGACCATCCGCCGCGCGCGGCCCGACCATGGTCAGGGGCGGCGCTCGCTCCTGAGAAAGCGGGCGAGCCAGCGAGCAAAAGCGATGCATCTCTCTCTATATATATATATATATATATATATATGTGAACATATATGGTAGCCCCCCCCCCCCACATGATCATACATATTCGTCTTTACCGCGGCCGCCGATCGATATCTTCTTTCTCCGTTCCCTTCTCCTGTCTCTTCCCTTCTCTCCTCCTCCTCCTCCTCTTCCTCCTCCTCCTCCCCCCCGTGCTTTTCCTTCTCGGAATCATCGAAACCGTCAGAAACTAAAGGGAACCTGCAAAACAACAAAAAAATAAAGGAGGAACAATGAGGGTAACATAAAATGAGTTCTGGAAAATGCATGGGACGGCTGGCGGCCAAAATTCGCCAGAAATCGCAGTGTTTATATATATATATATATATATGTTTTGTTTTTATTGTTGGTTGTTGTTTTTGTTCCCGCCTCATCCTCCTCCGCCTCCACCTTCTCCCTCTTCTCCTCCTCCTCCACTCCTTCTTCTCCTCCTTCCCCTCTCCCCCTCCTCCGTTATGCCGCCGGCCGTCAGCATGAGGGTAGGTGCCGCAATTCCACCGATTGCTATCCAATCTGTCGCAACCGTTGCGTTGCTATGTTTCCAGGCGGAGCGCACGCATAGAGGTCTACAAAAGATGGTGGTTCATACGTGCGCGCGCGCATCGCACCGACTGCCATCGGCTACGACTGCGTCGCGCATCATGTGCGCTCGCACGGCGCGGCCGCCTCCTCAGTCAGCCTCGCTGCGGCGCGCCGTCGCCAGCCTCGCTGCGGCGCGCCGTCGCCGACTCAGAGGGCGGCTCCCCCTCGTCAAGCACGCGCGCGAGCTCTGCCGACAGACCGTCGTCATCCTCGACGTCGATCGTTTCACCGTGGGCCGAGGCGGCAATGGAAGCGAAGATCGCCCTGCTCATCGGCATCCACGGGTGACAACGGACCACCGCAGCCCATCATGAGCCCCCTCGCCCTCTTCGCTGGCGGGGGCGAGGACAAGTCCTCGAACGCACCGTGGTGCGCCTTGCCGAGGCTCTTGAAAATCGCGAGCTGCTCGTCCTGGTCCTCCTTGGTGAGCTCGCCGCCACGCCCAGCGATGTTGGGCTGCGCGGAGCTGGCGGCGCGCGAGCTGTCTTCTGGCGGTTCGTCCATTCCGCCGCCGAAGCCGAACGCGTCCTCCTCCTGGGACAACTCGGCTGGCGGCTGGGAAAACGCCGAAGCGGCCGCGGCGGCTGGCGGAGCGCTGGCCGCGCCTGGAACGAACCCTGAAACGTTGCCGACAGCGGAGACAACGCGCGCAGGGCCATCGCCGAAGATAGGAGCAACATGGACAGTCGCAATAGTGGGCGCGTCAAGGCCCGCGACCACATTGCTCATGTACCCAATCGACCAAGCCATCTTTTCGGCGTAGTCTGAGGGGGGCGGGCGGATGGCTGGCGACGTCGTGTCCCGCACTTCGCTGACGAAGAGGTCGGGGCTCCTGGGGTTGGGCCACGGCGTGAACTCTGCGCCATCCTGCAGGTTGGCGGATGCCACGCGCCAATGCACGCCGAGGTCCGTCACCGCGATGACGTGCGCCCTGGCGAGGACGGCGTTGAAGTCCTCCTCTGTCCTGACATCCTCCAGAGACGGCGCGATGATACGCTGGAGCAGGTCGAGGTCGTACTTGTTTTGCGTCGCGGCATCCAGCGCCGCCTTCTCCGCGTCGCGGTCGTAGGGGTTCGCGACTGCCTGTCTGCGCGACCCTTGCTCGAAAGCGCAGCCGCCCCACCGAGCCCACAGCAGAGCGTCCTTACCCTTGGGGTTCAAGAAAGCCTTGAGCACATCAGCGGATACCTTCAAGCGGCCAAGCGTTCGCCCGATCACCAACGCCACCGCGACTTCCACTTGGGAGGGCGATGCGGTGGGAAGAACCGCAGTCTCCCTGGAAGCCGCGGGCGGCAATGGCGTGGGCCACGCCAGGCCACCGAACCTTCTGAAGCAGGCCGTCGTCGAAAATGCCAGGGAGGATCTCCGTCGTCGGCTCGCCCTTGAAGAAATCCATATGCTTCACCGTCAGGGAAGCGATCTCATCGGCGGCGCCCTTCTTCTGTATGCTGCACGCCGAATGAACCCAATCAAGCGTCTTCGAACCGTTGCTCTTGCCAACTCTGGACTTCCCGACCCACAGCACCCCGTGCATGTGGAGCGTGCCAATCATCAGGCGGAGGGCGCCATTGAGGAACCAGCCAGAGAAGTCCTTCAGCGTCAAACTCCAGCGCGAGATCGGTTTGGCATTCGTCCTGCCCTTCTGGTAATTCCGCAGCGCAGTCTCCACCTTGGACGCAGGCCACCCGAATATCTTCGAACCCTCCCTGTTGACCTCTGTGTCAGCCCATTCCATGAACTGGTTTCTGTTATTGCTGCGGGGGCCGTGTTCACGGATGAACGTGTAACCCTGCGCGCGCTTGTCCTCCTCTAGCGGCTGCTTCCGCTCGTGCTGCGGCTTGATCGTGAAGTACCTTGCGGTGGAGGCGCTGGATAGGCATACATACGGTGAGAAGCCCAGGGGGTCCCGATCGCTGGGTCGCCACAGATAGGGCGCCCAACTCGTTTTGAAACACGGGGTGGGGGAATGCCCCTGGGCTGAGGCGGGCAGGAGGGGGATCTTTATCCGAGCGCGCCCACCGTATTTGATAGCCCTCGAGCTTCTCCAGCACGAACTGGAACGCAATCGACCCCGCCCGAAAGTTTTTGCCGTAGTCGATGTTGTGGGCCTCTCCGCGAGCACACTTGAGGATGGTCGCAGAATCGACTTTGTTTTTTTCTCGAAAGAAAAAATCTTGAAGGTGCGGTATGCCGAGCACTCGTTGTCCTCTGGCTTCTGGCGAACGATGAAGATCTGCATCGTGTGCGGGACGACGGGCTCCTGCTTGAGCGGCAGCGGCTCCTGCAAGTCCTTGAACCTACCCTGTGCGCACAACTCGTGCACCTTGTCGAAGTCAATCGGGCCCTCGTAGTTGGATACCATGTCGGCGAAAGCGACCAACTTCGCGGTACTCGAATTCGCGATCGGTAGCAGAGGAAGGCCGAAGATAGAAAGGTCACCAGCGAAAGCCAACCTGTCTTTCTTGACGCACTTCGAGGGGTGGTAGTCTAACCTGCTACCGCTGACCATCAACGACGCCTCCTCAAAGGTGAGCTTGCCGTCTCCCTCGGCGTCGTACGCAACCTGCCCCAGCGACTGCACCTGAGCAGCAGGGGCGCTCGCCATGATTCGTGGCGAGAGAAAGGCGGGTCGGGCGGTGGCCTTGGATGACGGGCAACGGCGCGCAAGCGTTGATCACAGACGGCTGCAGATGCCAGCTTAGCACCTGGGGAGGGGGCGACGACGACGAACGATGCACACTGAAGATGGAAGTAAGAAGCAAGAGAGCGTGGGCACGACGACGATGAGTCAAAGATGTGGCGCGGCTGCGGTGGGGACAATCAACGCGACGTCAATCACGCGCACTCGGGAACGCATGCGCGCTGTATAAAAACACACCCCTCGACATCGGCACTCCGTAATAAAAACACACCCCTCGACATCGGCACTCAGTGCGCCGCGTCCATGACCTCCCAGATGGCATCCGCGGTGGCCGCCCACATATCCTTGCCCTTGTTCCAGTACTCGAACTGGGCCGAGCGAACCGAAGCCGCGAGGCGCCTGCTGCCTGGGAGGTCCGTGCGCGTGCCAATGAAGGTTTTGATGGACCTCCAGGCGCGGTCGATGATCTGCGTCCCTGCCTTTACCCTGATCTTGGAGCCGTCGGGCAACTTGTGGGTGACAGCCATCGAGTAGACTGGCTTCAACCAAACCCACTTCCTGCCGATCTTCTCCCGCTTCTTGCAGTGCACGACGTGGTCGCGCGCGAGCCCCGACGCGCGCATCTTGTAGCTGCGGGCCCCGTCAGAGTGCAAGATGACCTTCCTTTTCTTTAAACGGCTTTTTAGGAGCGGCGCCCAATCCGTCTTCTTGATGGCGCCTGGGCCTGGCGCGTTGGCCCCGGTGCCGTCTGACTGGGTCTTCCACAGAACGAGGCTATCAGGGCGCCCGCGCTCGACGACGCCCGCCCACTGTTCCCGCGTCTTGGAACGACCGTCGTCGGACAGCTGGGCGCGGAAGACCGACTCATCCGCCTCCACGTCGAACCAGCGCCGCTGAGCTTCGTCGCCGAATACAATGTTGGGTTCGTTCTTTTCCACGTAGATCTGCCGCACGGCTGCCGCGGCCGCGCTCATGTCCTCGATCATCTTGTGGTTGGCACCTGTCAGCAAGTGTATCTGGGCGGTGGTCATGCCGAGCGTGAGGCAGAAGAGGACCTTGGCCTTCGTCGACAAACTCGACGATTGGCAACCCCCGCCAGACTTGAAGACGGGGTGGGCGGTGCACGGGTTGACGGTCTTGCCGCACAGCCTACCGCTGTTGCATCGCCAATGCGGGCCGCGATTGTCATCATGCACCCGCGCGCCGCAGGTTCCGACGCCGCAGTGAGGGCAGGTGCGGCCTTCCCAGTCAAGCAGGACGCCATCCTCGAGGAGCAGGTCTACCATCTGGTCCGCAGTTTTCCCGTGGAAGCTGTCGTAGTTGCGGCGCCAGGTTTCGCGCTCCTTGCGGGATTTCACGGTCTTCTTCCCGTGGCGCGCGTACTCGACCTTCTCCGCTTGCTTCCTGCGCTGGCCCATCCTGTCCTTGCCCCTCTTGCGCAAGGGGAACGGCCTGAAAGCACTCGCAGGCCGCTTCTTCGGCGCGGAGGCGGCAGCAGGGCGTTTGATAGCACGCTTTCCCATCGCCGAAGGTGGCAGAACGGTGGCCCAGACGGTCGGTTGAGAAAAACGCACTGAGCCAAAATGTGCTGCGGGTGGGACTGGGGCCCTCCTTGCCTGGAGGTTCGTCGGCTTCCTCTGGTCGTGGCGGTGGCGCTGTCGGTAGTTATGGTAGGAGTGGTTGTATTAGCAACAGTAGTAGTGGTGGTAGTAGTACTAGTCGTCGTAGAGCTGTAGCAACAGTAGTAGTGGTGGTAGTAGTACTAGTCGTCGTAGAGCTGTAGCAGCAGTAGTTGCAATAGAAATGGTAGTGATAATCGTAGTAGAAGAACAAAATCCCTACGACGCCCGTATCAGATAGGGCATCCTAAAATCAGGATGCCCTTTTTGTGCAGCAATGCGCCTGTTCACGTTAGACTGAACATGCTTGTCGGCGGCTCCATCGTCGCCTGGTTTTCTGGGTGGGTGGTTCGTCCTGTTGTCTTGATGTCATCATTGCACCGCTTTTCCTACGACGCCCGTATCCGAGAGGACATCCTAAAATCAGGATGTCCTTTTTGTGCAGCAATGCGCCTGTTCACGTTAGACTGAACATGCTAGTCGGCGGCTCCATCGTCGCCTGCTTTTCTGGGTGGGTGGTTCGTCCTGTTGTCTTGATGTCATCATTGCACCGCTTTTTTCCTACGGCGCCCGTATCAGAGAGGGCATCCTAAAATCAGGATGCCCTTTTTGTGCAGCAATGCACCTGTTCACGTTGGGCTGAGCATGCTAGTCGGCGGCTCCATCGTCGCCTGCTTTTCTGGGTGGGTGGTTCGTCCTGTTGTCTTGATGTCATCGGTGCACCGCTTTTCCTACGACGCCCGTATCAGAGAGGGCATCCTAAAATCAGGGTGCCCTTTTTGTGCAGCAATGCGCCTGTTCACGTTAGACTGAACATGCTAGTCGGCGGCTCCATCGTCGCCTGCTTTTCTGGGTGGGTGGTTCGTCCTGTTGTCTTGATGTCATCATTGCACCGCTTTTCCTGCGCGGCATCCTGCCTGGCAGAAGCGCGTTCCGCCCTCCATTCCCCCTGGTCCGCCTCCTCCTCCTCCTCCTCCTCCTCCTCGGTCGGCCCCCTGCTTTGCCTCTGGTCGTGCTCCCCGCCGCGCCGTGCCTCTCTTTTCCCGTTAGCGAGCGAAGCGTTCTTTGGCCTCGCGGCGGGCTCCTGCTTTGCCTAGTTGTCCTGAGAAATGCGAAGGGTGGCCCTCAAGTGAGTGACCCTCCAAGTCGCCCAGTCCCTCAGAAGCTTCGTCGCCTTCGGCGGCAGCTCCTGGTCGCACACGCGCGAGAAAGCCTCGAACCAGGACTTCCAGGCCTTGAGGGCCTTCGCGTCTGCAGCTCCCTTCGCCTGTGCGTTCTCCTTGGCCGTGTTGCTCTCGGCCAGCTCCCTCGTCAGTTTCCGCACTCGCTCCTGCGCGGGCGAGGCAGCAAGGCACCCGAACAGACGGGGGGGATTTCGGTGGCGTGGGCTTGCTCGAGTTGCGTTTGCTTCGTGCTTGGTGCTCTTTGCTGGCGTTGCTGTCGTTGCGGTTGCGGTCGTTGCGGTTGCGGTCGTTGCGGTTGCGGTCGTTGCGGTTGCTGCCGTTGCGGTTCCGTCTTTTGCGGTTGCGGGCAGGGTGGTGGTGGTGGTGGAATTTCAAAACGTCGTGTCCCGAAGCTGCTCGTTGGACCACGCACGCTTCTCGGCGAGCTCCCAGTTGTCCGCCGCCTCGCCCTGGCACCAATCAACCTGAGCATGAGCAGGCGGGACAATGCGTTTATATGTTTGGAGATGTTTGAAGCGCAAAGAGGAGGATAGATCGCAGCCTGCTCTTCCAGGTCCGCGATCTTCTTCAACAGCGGCCTCTGGAATCGCATCTTGAGCTTGTGCTTCGCCGCTTTGGCCTTGTCCTTTTTGACTCTGGCCTTGTACACGCGGTTGTTCTCGAGCTTGCGGTCGTACTGCTCCGTGCCGTGTTCGGGGTTGCCCATGGTTTCCCAGCGGGGCGCTGGCTAAGCGAAGCAACGGCCTTGAACACGCGTGTGCTGCACGAAACAAAAAAGAGAAGGAGAACGAGTGAAGAAGGAGGAAGAGGAGGATGAAAAGGAGGGGGAGGAGGACAATGGGGAGGAGGAAGAGGAGGAGGAGGAGGAGGAGGAGGAGGAGGAGGAAGAGGAGGAGGAAGAGGAGGGGGAAGAGGAGAGGGAGAAGGGGGAGGAGGAGGAGGACGAGGAGGAGGAGGAGGGGAGGGGGGAGGGAGCAGGAGGAGGAGGAGGGGAAGGAAGAGGGGGGGGGAGGAGGAGGAGGAGGAAGAGGAGGAGGAGAAGGAGGAGGAGGAGGAGAGAGAGGGACATCAGGAACATGAGGAGGACGCAGAAATTGGATGCAGAGGTTGAGGAATAGAAATGGGTTGCAATCCATTGAACTGCATCCGTTTGGATTGCAATCAAGTGGGTTCCGACTGCCAGCGCATCAACACATCATGAAGAAGAGCATGATGAGGGAAAGGCGAGGAACACTGGAGAGATGAAATGAGAATGTGTATGATCATGTGGGGGGGGGGCGAGCACACATATATATATGTATATATATGTGTATATGTATATATATATGTATATATATGTATAAATATACATATATATGTGTGTATACATGTTATATATATAGAGAGAGGGGGAGAGAAAGAGAGAGAGAGAGAGGCAGAGAAAATAAATGAGAGAGAGGGGGGGGCAGATTAGCCGCAGTACCGAAGACGACTCATCCGTCTACGCTGCAGCGTCGTTTCCAATCTTTGCTGCTCGCACGCTAGCTCGCACGCTAGATGCGGGATTCGTGCCCGATTTTGCAGTTGCTAGGCCTCTTGCAATTCCTTTGGCCGGCCTCCTGAGTGCGCGGCCCCTTTGCAGCCGCAGCTTTCCCTTTACAGGTCCCCCCCTGGTTCTCACGTTAGCAAGGAGGGTGCGCAAAGGCATGTGCACGACTGACGCGTGTCTTCTTGGCTTGTCGCAGATATGTGTTATGGTCTGCGACGAAGACGCGGTGTAGAGAGTGTTCATGGGGCCGAAAACTTTGATTGCATTGCAAAACTGTCCGGTGCACGATGCTGGGTACATTCGGGTGATCACGAGAGCGCGCATGGAGTTCACGCTGAATCGTAACGCCTCTTCATGCTGGCCGCAGTGGAATTCCGTCCGAGCGCCACCATGTCCGGGACGGCACATCCGGCATCTGAAGTGCAGCGCACCGATTTCGGCCAGCTGGAGTGGCCAGACGCCCTGGCTTCCTCGGCTCTGGCCCCCCACGCTGCCGATGGCGAACATGCATTCCCAGGCGCGCGTGTGCACATACGTACATCAGAGCGTGAATTACCTACCCCGCTTTCGCTTCCAGGAAAAAACCAAGTCATACCACGCACCTCCTCGTCAAGCGGCCTGACCAGTACAGGCCGTAGTTTGGCATCGCCTGGCATCTCTTGGAAGCGAGGGTGGCCCAAAGCGAGGCAGGCTTGTTTTCCCCCTGGCACGGATCGGTGGCAGATGCAGACGCCAGAGATCCGGGAACGGGGCTCCGTCCTCACCCTCGTCCTGCATTGCACGTGCCCGTGTCCGCCGCGTACGGTCGAATCGCACGGCTTCAAGGCCGCACCCCCCGCGTCGCTCGGGGGTGGGGTGCGCCCGTACTGCGGCTCGGCTTTTTTGTCGTGTATATGGCTGGCCACCTGGTTCGCAGAAGAGGAGCGGCAAGGCTTACCCATCGGTCGATGGAGGTGGGTATTCTTGCCCCCCCCCAGATTCCAAACACATGTTCGCTGCCCTCTTGCTTCAATCGTCGAGTGCATTCCCTTTTTGCATCCTCTCTGAGGGGCGGGCAGACTCCCAGTCTACTTTCATTGCCTTCCTACTTCCTGTTTCTGCCCACTTCCTCCGACCAGTGGGTAAAACACATTTACTCTCGGAGCTCCGCGCGGATTTCTGGGATCGGCGCTCGGGCCCGCGTGGCGGCGCCTGGTGCCGCCCCCGGCGCGCTCCGCGCGCCAGGAGAGAGGGGGGGACCCAGCGCCGATCCGAGGAGTGTCAAGCAGTGGCGAAGCGTCTTTGCTCGCCGATAGGCCCACCAAAGAATGTTTTAAGAGCCCATTGTGGTCTGCACGAGATGCTCTTGGAACATTCCTGGCTGAGACTGTCTTGGTTTAGCACATCGGACTTGTGTTCTAAGAGCAGTGTTTTATGTCCTTAGACTATGTTTTGGGGGGTTCTAAGACAATGTCGCGGTAGGCCTATAGGAATGCCGAGACGGTCGGCCCCTGGTCAGGAATTGTGGAGGTCGGAAAGGGGTGTGGCACAAAGGGGTGTGGTGCCAATCGTGGAAATGGCGATATGATCTACGACTGATAACCTCGCCAGATCCAGCATGGGCACCACATCAGAGCCCCGAAGCATCAGGGGTAACTCGGGTCAGAGCTAACTCGGGTTCGTTTGTCGGGAATCCAAACCCGTCTTACCCCAGGCCCGAGTTGCCCCAGATGATTCGGGCGTCCATAGCCCCAAATCATCAGTGGTAACTCGGTCAGGGCCATCTCGGGTTTCTTTATTTCGGGAATTCAAGCCCGAGTTACCTCGGGCCCGAGTTCCCCCAGATAACTTGGGCGTCCAGAGCCCCAAATCATCAGGGGCAACTCGGGTCAGGGCTTACTCGGGTTCGTCTTTTGGGGAATCCGAGCCAGAGTTGCCCCGGGCCCGAGCTACCCCCGATAATTCCGGCGCTCAACCACACCCCTTTGCTCTCCGTCCCCTGCAGGAGGATGAGGAGGAGGAGGAGGAGGAGGAGGAGGAGGAGGATCAGGAGGAGGAGGAG